ACAAGCAACGTCAACTTAATAGTTGACTTTAGTGTCCCTTTAACAAGCCTTTCTACAGAAATGGTAACGCTGAGAAACGCCCTGAGCACCTCTGAGCAAGCTCCTCTAACATCATTCATTTTGTGAATATGGTGGGGATTTTTTTATCCAGCAGCTATGCTAGTAGCATTGCTGGAGTATATAATACAGTTAAAGCTGCTTATAACGAACCTCCATATAACGAAGTACTGGATATAACGAAGTTTTTCTATTCCCCGCCGTCGCTCCATAGGAGCACATGTATTGCGACCTCTATGTAAGAAAGAAACTGCGGAAGACAACCTTGATACAGTCGAGCCCACATATAATAGCCCCACTTAAAACGAACTTGCGCTTAAAACGAACAACATCCGCATGACCGTGAAAATATACGATTTTTGACCATGGCCGCTGATTCTTTGAACTCTGCCGCGCGCACCAATTCAGGCGGCTATGCACTCTTTCCAAGTTTTTCTACGTGCGAGTTTCGAGGACCTTTCAAGCAAGCCGAGCTACCCAACCTGCCTCCTTCCCGTGTATTTTGGTTTTAAAGGTCGCCCTCCCTCCACATTCTCTCCTCTCTTTATTGAATCTCCTTGCCATTTTCTCGCAAGTCAGCTCTCCTCTCTTGATCACAACCCCTTCGCCCGTCTCCTCCGCTCCACGATGCCCACCACGCTGGCTCAAGTTAGTTTCGTTTTCTGATTGGAAACGGGCCCAGAGCTGTTCCACGCATTCTGACATGTGTGTCGCGTGTGCGCATCTTGCTCGCTCTTAATGTGCGTGTGTGGTCATGATGGCCGACGGGAGGACTAGCACGCTTTTTACTGCCGCTGAACAAAACGTCGAAAGTGTGACCGCTTGGCTTGAGCGTAATCCACGCGTTAGGTGCCGTATTGCGGAGCGCTTGCTCATAGCTATTGACCACCTGGCAGCCAACTTGCCGCTTCGGGTGTCCCAGTATGCAGCTGTGGAGATGGTGAATATTTCGTGGGCGACGATGACGGCTACATGTGCGCGAAACTGTTTTCGCGAGGCCGACTTTGTCGACGTCGGGTCCGATGCCGAACCTGAAGCTTCCGAACAAGACCACTGCGGCGGCGATTTATGGCAGCGCGTCGTCGACTCCGACCTGGGAGAGCAAGTGGGACATCTGTTGCGATATTTTAATTACGGCGGATGATGATGCCGACACTGCGGAACCGTGCACGTATCAGGCATTGATTGATTGATATGTGGGGTTTAACGTCCCAAAACCACTATATGATTATGAGAGACGCCGTAGTGGAGGGCTACGGGAATTTAGACCACCTGGGGTTCTTTAACGTGCACCCAAATCTGAGCACAGGGGCCTACAACATTTCCGCCTCCATCGGAAATGCAGCCGCCGCAGCCGGGATTCGAACCCGCGCCCTGCGGGTCAGCAGCCGAGTACCTTAGCCACTAGACCACCGCGGCGGGGCATCACGTATCAGGCAGGGCATCGTGAATGAAGTACGTGGTGAGAGCAATTTGGAGGAATCGGATTGCGAGAATGACGAAAGTTTGGAGTCAGTGCCTCATGCAGCTTATGCCATGGGCCTCAGCGAACAAGCGCCCTGCCGTTTTAAATGAACTCGAGACCGCCCTTATCGCTTCTGCTATTCGAAACACATGCATCACGGACTTTTGGGGGCACAAAAAGTTTGTGTTTTCACACGCAGCTTTATTTAGAAGCTGTGTTTCATTTACTACGAACTTTGGGATACAGTGAACGGATGCCACGTCACGCTCAGGTTCGTTATAAGCGGGCTCTACTGTATAATAAATTTTTCCCACGGGCAATCTTCGAATTTTGCTCCGCATTTCGGCATTTAGGTACGAGCATGCATCTTCCGCCGCTTTCCCACGCGGGCCACGTCCACGTGAGGCGGGCCTGCACCTTACGAGCTGGCATTGCCCCCTTTCTCTCCGCCGCGGTCGCATGCGCGTGTGTGCCCCCCCCCCCTAAATTGCGCGTCGGCAGTCCCACGGGTTTAGTTATTGTCACATATGTGGGGCCGCGCTGCATATGAAAGGTGCTCTACCGAATAGTTTCCGCAGTAACCATTTCTGTGTCTGTGTAGTTCGTTCTTCGTTTTCGACTCCGTGCGTGCGTGCATAGTTTCACTGCGCGCGCATGGTGTGTGTGTGTGTCCCCGACGACGTTCAGCTTTGCTTTTTTTATTCAATTATGTATATGGACAGTTTCGGCTGGGTTTTTGCCACCACCGCCTTCATTCACCGTATAAGTATACATACCTATATATATGAAAACTAAAAAAAAAAAAAAAGCCGCCCGCGCTCGGCGCTCAGCTTGTCACAATGTGCCGACGCGCGCTTATTTTAAACCCGTACTTTGTTCCACGAATGCGGAGGGGGGAGAGGCGAGTTAGATTTGTTTTTTGTTTGTTTATTATTTGTTTGTAGATTATTTGTTTTTTTTTTCCATTTTATTGTATTTCGTTTTCACCCTGTCATTGCTGACGTAGGGTGAACGGTGCTTAGTCAAGCTGCAATAACTGCAGCTTTTTTGCCGTCTCCCCATTTTTCGCCATTGTATCTGTTTTGGTGAAAATAAAAAATAAATAATAATAATAAATAATAAAGATGCTTGTGGACGCACCCTTATCCTTCAATGGGCAGAATCGCGCACCTTCGACTTTGACCTGAACGATTGCATTTGCTCTTTTCACACAGTCCGTTCGTGTTGAAACCACACTGATACTCACCGAGATAGGATGCGCACCTGCGATCACGACCCCCCTTAAAATCCAAGTTCATTATTGCTACTCGAGCGATCCCCCCTCTCCCCATGTTGTGTCATGCTTGTTTAAGACAGGTGGTTTACTTTCTGCTTGAGCATTGGATAGATGTTCTAACACGCGGGAGATGGCAGTGCCAATTGACAACTGACCAAGTGACTCAACAGAATGCTTACCGATACATCCCTAGCAAAAATACCAATAGAGAAATGTATAGGTCCTATATAAAAACTTTATTGGTTCTGTACGAGCTGTATTGGTACTTCATTGGTCTCATTACAAATCTATTCGCGCCCATTGCCCTCGATTTGCCTCTGAAAAACAGAAGCTTTCGGACGCATTGCGACAATTGGACGATCGGCCACTCTCTATGCAGATGCTACTAGAACACGCCTTTCCACGTCCTCGCCTTTCGTCGGCTCAAAAAGCAGTCAAAGCTGCCTTGTGCTTTTTGAGAACTACAGGCCTACGTGACCACCTTTAACTTTTGTGTAGTGCCACCGCTGCATACGCGCCAGCTCATTGACTGACAATCCTCTTTTTTTTTTCTCTTTCTCTTCTCTTTCCTCTCTCTCTCTCTCATCTTTATGCCCCTTTCCCATTTCCCTGCATAGGGTAGCAAACCAAGCACGTGCCTGGTTAACCTCCCTGCCTTCTCTCTTGTTAGTCTCCCCCCCCCCCCCCTGGCACAAATAAAAACCAATTCATCGCACCTATTTGCCACTGATGAGACCAATAAGGTGTCTATAGACTGTAGCTATTTGTCACTTATATAACCAATAGATGCGTATTGGCGCCATTAGAGTTCTATAGAAAACAGCTATTTGTACCCTATCAGACCAATAAATATATATTGGTACCTATTGGTGACAGCTATTGGTGCGTATTGGTGCTCATAGGTTGTAATAGGTGAGACGTATTTGTCACCTATAGAACCAATAAACAGCAGCTATTTGTAATTTTTAGCTGGTGTGAATTTCTACTAGAATCAAGTAACTTTGACGTTACATGCATGGTATTAAGAAGACATTCACATATGTATTTCACTTATTGAAAAATTCAGTTAAAAGGGAGTTTTTGATTTGTTCAATATATGAGGAAAGTGACAGATACATGTGTATTCCAAAAATATTGCACCCATAATTTTTATAAATATCACCAAAATAATTTGACACCCAGTGAAATTGAGTAATTTCATTCTGCACTCAAGATTATGATTATAATGCTTGTAGGCTACATAAGCCCACAAAATAAGTGTTCACAGAAGGGAAACCTTTCATAGAGTTAAAAAAAGAACGTCACTCCAGGTAAGTTTAAGCAGGGGGTCACGAGGTTCGTAAAGGCAACAGCGTACTGCTTTCCTTCAAAGTGCAAACGGGCTGGGAAAATCAACTATTAACAAAATAACAGAAGTCGAAATGTGTGGTAGAAATTGTCACAGTCTGCTTGAGTGTGTATACCCATAATGTATACATAGTCTATTTCAGCCGGTAAACTAGTACGGTCTTTCAAATAAAAAAAAAAATGCGAACAGTACATCTTCCCGCTCCGCTGGTTGCATTACTTACACTTGTAGCCTTCATGGTAATAAAAAGACAGGCCATTTATGATGCATAATAATGAGACTAGCATGACCAAGCTAAGTGCACGATGAAGACAAATGCGAATGGCGTGGTTCGTGTATCTTTCTGTCGCCCCTGTGTAAGTACGTAGGCGAGCTCGTTCGAGCGTTGGAAAAATGAACATCGATGTTCATGTTCGCTGCCGCGGCCCGCAAGTTCGTGCCTGTGCCTCCTGCGTTACGAACCCCCTGCAGTAAGAGAAATTGATGTTGCCGATGCATTACATAGAAATTATTTATTCAGACCTCAGTACAAATTAAAATGGGAAAGGTATAACCACAGAACACCTATACACTATCATTGTATAACATTTGAAAGATGCCGCAGTGCGATACAGGATTGAAGAAATAAAAAAAACGACTATAATGTCGCTAAAAGGTGCTGTATATATTACATTTTTTTTTATTTCTGCCACCAACATTTCAGTTTGCTATGCTTTTTATAATCTTTTAATGTATTTGCAGCTCAGTATATTTGACAAGAAAAAACATATTGCAATAAAAAGTGAGAAAAAAAAACTCTTTTTGTGGCATCACCATGGCACGAGTGCTCAGGCCAGCAAGCGTGCGAGCAAGCCGACTACAGCCAGCCGCAGCCGCCGCTGTTGTCGGCCAAGTGTGGCAGGTGGCGTAGTCGGGCTCAGTGTTTGTATAGATTTAAAAGTATTTCAAAGTTAAATTGGCATATATAGAATCGCAACGACGCTGCTAAATTATTCATGAACGTCAAAGGAGTTCCAGTGCTAAAAGCAGCGTCTCGGACTTAAACAGCAATGAATGGTGCCGGTGCCGACACGATGCCCACCAAGGTGATTTCTTCAGAGCGCATACCCTGCGGCTGTTAGGTAAGAGAACTGTGTTATATATTTGTTAAATCAGTAGAAGTTGCTTTTCTGGTCCTTCTAATTGGTTTATTTGCCAGCCATCAAAGTGCATCCCCGTTAAATATGTTTGGCCGTTTTATTTGTTCAGTAGTTTTTCCACTCTAAGGTACAACACTTTTGAACATTGTGTGGGCTGTTAGCATATACAGACACTAGCATAAGTGCACGTTATTGATTAGCACATTGTTTTCGTAGTAATTCAAAAAGACTAAAATACGTAATATCTTTGTTCAATCATAATAATAAACTTTGGGGATAAGGAAGACGCTAATCTTATTGCCAACAAAAATACTATGCGGCTCTTCCATCATTAATTAGCATTCACGCTCACTGAACCCCATTCTGTCGCATACATGGTTGCACTAGAGAGGTGCTTATTCAGTGAAGCTTTTAGTGAGACTCCTGAAGCTCAGACGCAAGGATCGTTTTGGGTGCTAGTGCCATTTCGCCTTGCCCACAAGTGTCCAAGGTCCACTTAAAAGATTGAGGTTTTGTTTCTGGGACACAAGCATAATCAAATCCGCTGCACAGATGTGACAAAATATTTGTTCCTATTGTGTGAGGCTGTTACCTACTGCGAGCTCGCCGGAACTTCCCTCATGCTCATTATACATTTTTTAATGCATCATTTTTTTGAGTAGCACTTAAAAAATATATTCCTTTCTTCTTCCTGGTGTTTTCTATCTGTTTTTCTTTTCAGGCACTACCTGGAGAGGTGGAGCAGTGGCATATGTTCGACAAGGAAGAACAGCATGCTTGGAAAGCTTGTTTCGGAGAAGATTGCCGATTTGATGAAATTATCTTCTACTAATTAAAAATATAATACTGGCCTCACTTTGATTGGATCTGTTTTGTTTTATAGAGGCACTGCTACGTTGCAGTCCTCAAATGCCCTATATTTTTATTCCAAAGCTAAACGTTCTCAGCTAAGGATAGGCTGCGATAGATTTTTGATATACAAATACAGTACTAATAGACAAATACAATGCCAATAGACATATACAGGACCAATATGCCAATAGACCAATACACAATAGGCTAATAGAGTGCCAATAGACAAATACACCAATAGACAAATAGAGGTCTAATAGACCACAATGCCACCTATAAACCCATGGATACCAATAGACCAATATATTCAATAATCCGATAGGCTATTGGTTTTTCTATAGGTGATTTTTGCAAGGGATATGTTGTCCATTTACACTGACTTCGAGCACTGTACGTGGGTCAAGATACTCCCATACATCAAATTCGCTTACAATACTGCACTGCAGGAGACTACTAAAGAGATGGCACTCTAGCTTGTGTATGGTTGAATAGTTATCATGCCCTTAGATACAATGGTGCCAGTAAAAAACAGTTCAAAGCACAAGCTGAAATCAGCGAGTTCAGTCGAAGCTGAAGAAGCAAAGCAGCTGGAGCGACATCACATAAAAAGCAACGCATTCATGCAAGCCGTTACAACTTTCAACAGAGAGAAGTCAACTACGCACCAGGCGACAGCGTTTAGATATGGACTCCCGACAGACGCCTAACTTCTCTGAAAAGCTTCTGCAGCACTATTTCAACCCTGAGTCCTGCGTTGAGTCAGCACCTTTAACTACAAGGTGACACCGGAAGGACAAGTGACCTCATCAAAATGCCAAAGGTGCAAAGAAACTGTGCATGTGCCGAGGATGAAGCCATGCCACGACAGTCAATGAACATTGAACGATACGCAACAAATCACTACGAATACCAATTTCCCCAACGGAGATCATGCATTTATACCTTGTCATCAACATTACCCTCTACACATCCAAACAATGCATTCTTGGGGGAGCAGTAATGATGCAAGACATACACCATATTTGAACTATGTTCCCAAGTTCATGCACTCTCCAAGAGACTAGCTGCCCACAGATGAAACAAGAAAAGGTTGTAGCAGCGGGCACCTTCTCAGCACGGGATTCGAGGAAAAAGAAGTCGATCACTGCTCAAGGACTTTTCAGAGATTCATTCATTTTCTACTCTCCTGCACGGAACCCTGCAAGCATTTTACTTTACTTTTTGGGCACAAATTAGCCCTTCAATAAATAGTTACTCCTATACTATCTGAATTGTGCATTACAATTCTTTGTCACGCATTACAGATAGGTAAGAAGATTAAATTAAATCAATTAAACTGTTATTGTGTTCCTTGTTAGAATAGTATTGAGAACTGATAGACAATTATGCCAAGGAAAGTATAGGGGATGTTATTAGAAGCAATGGTAATGTAATTGTAAAGAAATAAAAGTGGATGAGAAGATAACTTGCCGTGGACAGGAACTGAAGCTGTGACCTTCGAATAATGTGTCCGGTGCTCTAGGAACTTGGCTACCACGGCGGCTATCCTCTTATCCCCTTCATGGGGTATGTATGTGCATTTAAACATGGGACTGTCACTCACCACTGCCTGTTGCCATAGCGGCGAGTGTGAAACACTCGTTTCTTACAGCGAAAGCTGTTATGAGATCACAATACTGGTCACATGTGGCGCCGTAGGTTTCCACCGCTGCCGATTTCAGTAACTACTATTGCATGAAATAAGAAAAAAAAAACTGAGTAAATAAAACACATCAAGGACACAGAGAGATCTAAACTCGGGTCCCCTTCATGCCAGCCCAGTATTCTACCAAGCCACGCCGGTGCTTGGAACTCGCTTGCAAACTTGCCTTAGGCAGGCTTGATGTCGGAAAAAGAATCGCGTTAATATGAGTAATAAAGCTCTTTAGAACAGTAAAGGACCAACTAGGCATCACACAATGCGAATTGCATAACGAGTGGGTCGTCCAATGCTTCAACCCATTACAAAAGCTTGTTCTTGATCACCTATTGACTGTGGTGCATACCCATTTCAGGCCTAATTCTTCATCGTCGTCAGCCACTGCATAAAAAATTGGCACAAATTTATTTGCAAGTGTGTAGCGGATACCACGCTCCTCCAAAGAATGACGAAGGATAGTATAGTAAATGCTGGCCTAGTACACAAAAATTATGGTTATTTATGGTGTAGTGGGTACCCTGCAAGCGTGCCTGAAGCAGTTACCCAAAGAGTGATCACAAAAGGCTCTAAAAGGCCGCTCTTCTAGCTTTCGCTGTGACTGTGCTGCGGGTTCCGTGCAGTCCTGGCAATTTTTTGCCTGTTTTTTGCATGTAGCATGTGATCTTAAGAGATGGCAGCTGACCAATAAATAATCCCTCACATACCACCAGAAGGCATTAAGTCAATAAGACCATGTGCAAGGTGACAGCAAGAGGAAAAAATATAAGTGCCCCACACTCACCACTATGGCAACCAGAAGCGCCGACTGATGCTCTTACGTTTAAGTGCACATACCTACCCCATAAAGTGGACAGGGGGATAGCAGTCATGGCAGCTCAGTTGGCAGAGCTCCAGGGTAGTTATTGAAGCTTGCAGGTTCAATTCCTGTCTACAGCAAGTTTTTTTCTTTATCCACTTTTCTTTCTTCACAATTACATTAAAATTACTTCTATAATAACATCTTCTATACTTTCGCTGGCATAACTAGTTCTCATTAATATGAGATAGCATATTTTATATAGAGCTACAGCTGTCTTATGTCAACAACATGCACACATACCGCTTCAATTTCCTCCTCTTCCTCATCGATAGTCGAGACAGTGACGGAACTGAACTTGCCCATGTTCTTGGTGTGCTTTGTCACCATGATCTGCAAGGTCATCGTGAGTATGCAGCGTAAGTCACACTGGCTGTTCTAACACACACAATAACAGTGGGGAAGAAAACAACTCATGTGTTACGAAACCTTCCTTCTACTGGCACAGTCAGTGCAAGACACACACACGCCAAAGATTGCGTGAAATTAAGTAAATCTGAGGGGTAAAGAAAAGATGTATGTTGTAACGTGTACAACTAAGAAATAATTGAGGCTGGAGATGTTGAGCCAGGAATACAAGAAAGTATGGACCTCTACAAGAAAGTACAAGAGCTATAGCAGCCATGAACAAGATGAAGCAATAAATGCTGCTGACTGAAAGCGTAACCACGTCACCTTGATTACATCTCTGTTAGCAACAATTATAAAAACGCCAAGGAAGCCAAAGGAGATGGCAAGGGTGCTTTATTGCTATGCTGGCCCAGCTAATACAATACCCAATTGCCCACACTGCAACCTCAGGGTTGGAATGCACCTTCTTGGGCTCCACAGCTGCTCGCAGAAGCACACCAGCCTTGAGGGGTCCCTCTCCCGCTCGGAACACAGCACCCTTGACAACGAAGGTCACATTGCTGGATGGGTCATGCTGGTAGAAGAGCAGCAGGTCGCATCTGTGCAAGGCATATGAAAAAAGTGGGATCTGCTACAAATAATTAACTGTACAAGGTTAATTATAATGGTGTAATGGTGAAGAAGGCTGTTAATGATGAAGCACTCCGGTGGGCCAACTTGTGCCCAACATACAAGAATTGGCCGCACAATCAACGCATGCTGCACACTGATAGCAGCTGTCGGTGAAGTGCATAACCAGTTATCAAACCTTGAATTGTTATCACTGGTTGGCTAAATAAGCTAAGTTACTCATGTCCTCCCTGAAACCTACCCAGACCAGTCTAAAACAATTGCCAAGTTTCTAAACATTGTGGCATCGCCTGCAATGAAAAAGCATACACGACAATAAGAAAATTTCAGCTAGCTGATACACATTCATCTAAGGTTGATGCAGTGTAGATTACGAACCTGGAAGCACAGGACAGGCATTGACTTGTAGATAAATTTTATTACAACAAACAGACACACCTTTACATAACTGTTTCAGTGAGAGCCCCATCTTTTTCCAAAAATAGCTATTTACAGCGTGTCGATGTCTTATGCCCAGCTAAATGCGGCGTTATTGCAGCGGCGTTATTGCAAGTTAAGACAGGAAGGAAAAGGACAGAAAGGGAAAGATGAACAAGAAACAACAAAAAAAAGACGAGATAAGAAGGAAGGGCAACGCAAAGATTGTGGTAATTTAAGCAGCAATGCTATTATTGACAACAATGCAGCCCACGCACCCACTCTCTCCCCATGTGGACATTATGATGACCTCCCATGTTTAGTAATGCACCTTTTGCTGTAATCTGCAGGTAGCTCATTCATCCTTGAAGTTTACGGCGACTTGGTGGAGGATGACTTAAGGGCTTTGAGTGCATTGTTGAACTTGTAGGTGGGGCCGGATGATATGAAGAAGCTGATAAGGTTGCCCTACCATCAATATTCATATTTATTTATTTATTTATTTGATACTCTTAACCCCGTGCTTGGGGTCATAACAGGGAGGGTTTCACATGATACATTCCATAGCACATGAGAATAACATGAATAACCAGCATCAGAAAATAAAAGAAAAACTACAATCATATGCAGACGAAAATTGACAAGTAACTGCTTGTGTCGGGAATCAGCTTGCGTCACTAGAGAGAAAATGGTCCAATGCATCTCCGAAATAGGTTGATGTTGCATATTGTGCAACAACACTTGGTAAACTATTCCACATTTCTATTGTGTAAGGAAAAAAGGAGTGTCGGAAAGCATTCGTGCATGTAAAATACAGCCAAACAGACCTAGTGTTATTAAGACGATCACATCGCCTTCCAGGAAGCTCAAGATATACATCCTTGTCTATTTATGTATGCCCATTTATAATCTTAAAAAGAAAGTTAAGGTGATGTTTTTTTTTATGCCTAAGAAATTCCTCACAGAAGTTCAACAAAGTCGTGCCAGAATGTGTGCGTCAGTATTTATCGCATATGAAATCGACGCTAATAATATTGTGATAACAATTATATGGATACTTTTAGTAATGACTCGGCTAGATTTTGCCACCGGCGTCTGCGTTGCCGTCACTTACTGTATATAAACGCAAGAAAGAAAAATAGTTAAGAAAAAGACTATGGCACGTGGAATCGAACGTGGGACATGTGAATTGTAAGAGCGAGGTGTTAACCACTCAGCCTTGAAGAAACACCTTTTTCCACATTCAAAAGGCAAGCCATTTACAGTAAAATCTAAGTATAACAAACTTCAGGAAACCACGGCAATTTGTTAATTTGAAAGGTCGTTGTAGTGAAAGCCCAAAAATTTACCATAAATTTTATTTTACCATAAATACTTATTTTCCAACGACCAAAACGACTCACCTTTACAACGGTGGTTCCTTGAACCCATTTTTTTTACAATAAAAAACAAATGCGCAAGTGAACACCAAAAAAATACACATTTCCTTAAAGAAGTCGCGTTTTTTTTTTTTTTTATGCACGCAGCTCAAACTTTGCAGCGTGAAGGCCTCCTGCTCATCCACATTCTCCTCAGCGAAAACTGCTTCCGCTTATTCATCGCAAGCAGAGATGAACTCATTGTAATAGCACGGCAGCGCGAAAGCTGACTTGCAGACGCGATAAGTATTCACTGAAAAGATGAACATGACTGACAAGGCCTCCTCAGAGAACACCTATACCCCTTTGGCCTCCTAGATCACATGTAGAAGTGACAAAAATAAGAAAAACCCGAAGTGTCGCGGCTGTTATCGCCTCGTCCGAAAAAAGAAAGAGCTAAAAAAGAAAATTCTTCACATTTTGTTATCTATTTCCTTGCTGTCTCAGGTTTCCTTGCTGTCTTAGGCACAATATTTTCATTAACGCAACTCATAACCAAACCTATGAGAATCACGCAGTCGGTTTCTAATACTCTCGACCTGGTTCTAAAATCTAGCCCCGATTTTGTTTCCATCATAACATATCTTCCTGCACTGAGCGATAATTTATTGGTTACATATGACGTGAATTTGATACCTCCTAAAGAAGCACATAACACTAAAATTATTCGAAATTACAACAAAGCCAACTTTCAAGCAATCAAGGTCGAACTGAGTGACTTCCTAAACATATTCACCACCAGCTTTGATAGCTGTAGCATGCAAACCAACTAGGACACGTTCTTATCAAAAGTCAATGATCTTACATCTAATTACATACCCATTCATACTATCACCGTTAACCCAGAAACTCCGTGGTATAGCGTTCACTTAAAACGTTTGTCAAATAGAAAAAAGCACCTGTATCGGTCTGCTAAACGATCCACAAATCGTGCCCGTTGGCAAGATAACAAGAAAGCCTCAGAAGATTATACAGGAGCCCTAAAAAGTGCCAAAGATAACTTTTTCCGCAATAAACTGCAAAACATGCTCACAACTAATATCAAAAAGTTTTGGCGCGTGATAAATGCCAACACTGATAATGTCATATCGCTTGTGCATAACAGTGATTCTATTCCTGATGAAGAATGTGCTTCCTTGCTTAATGGTGTCTTTTCACAAAACTTCACTTCTGTTGCACACTGCCCAACACGACAACTAGGATGCCTTGATTACCCTGCAATGTTACCGCTGACAATTGATTTTGATGGTACAAAAAATGCTCTAACATTGTTAAATGCATCTTCAGCCCCAGGCTGCGATTTAATTACTCCCAAGTTTTTGTGGACACACTTTGTTATTCTTCTGTCTTTCTATCCACGATTTTTCAGCAGTCCCTCACCGAAGGTTCTCTGCCATCACCCTGGAAAGTTGGTAAGGTCGTTTTATTTCATAAATCTGGTAACAAGCATTCCCCACTTAACTATCGTCCAATTTCGCTTACTAGTATTCTGTGTAAGATTCTTGAGCACATTTTGTATTCACATTTAGCCAACTTCCTCGAGACTAATTCTTTTTTTTCACCATCCCAACATGGCTTTCGTAAATCATATTCTTGCGAAACACAACTGGCATTATTTACGCACAAATTAAACGTTATTCTCGACCGTTCATCACAGGTACATTGCATATTTTTAGGTTTCAGCAAAGCTTTCAATAAAGTATGTCACAAACTTTTCTTGCTTAAACACCTGTCCCTTAAGATTCACAGCTCTTAACCTGGATTGAATGTTTTTTAACTAACCGTTCCCAATTCGTCAGCGCTAACGACAAAGAATCTGAGCTAAGTGCTGTGCGCTCTGGTGTGCCACAAGGCTCAGTTCTTGGTCCGCTCCTCTCTTTAATCTACATTAATGATCTACCCTCTAATGTTACTAGCAACATTCACCTCTTTGCTGACGACTGCGTGATCTTCTGAGAAATAACATGCACTAACGACTCACATATTCTTCAGTCAGATCTTAATGCTATTTCAGAATGGTGTAACAATTGATTGATGGAATTAAACCCAAATAGATGTAAACTCATGCACGTAACTAGGTCTCCCACTACACTATCTGTGTACTACCTAGGTAATAACCCATTAGAATATGTACCCTCTTACAAATACCTTGGTGTGCACATCACAACTAACCTAATCTGGAACGTTCATATCACCTATGTAATTAACAACGCCAACCGCATGCTTGGGTACCTACGCCGTAACTTTTCAAAAGTCCCTTCCACACTAAAATTACTCTTATACAAAACACTAATCCGCACTAAACTAGAATACGTAGCAGCAATATGGGATCCCTTTCATGTCAATTCAATAAAGTCACTAGAAACGGTTCAGAACAACTCGGCTCGTTTCATTACATGTAATTACAATCGCAGCGCAAGCATATCAGTCATGAAAGCAGGCCTTAGTCTACCATCTCTTGCATCACGGTGTAAATTTCTCCGCTTGTCTTTTTCACAAGCTCTACCACCATGCCTACTTACATCACGAATTCATTATTGGTCCTCGTCGCATTTCACCACGTCTGGATCACGCCTTCAAAATCGGCATTCCTTTGTGTAGAACTAACTTCTTTTCGCAGTCCTTCATGCCACGTACATCGAAGGAAAGGAATGGCCTTCCAAACCCATCTTTCTGATTCCATCACGTGCGCCTCATGCACCTAGCACTTTAATTGGAAACTCTTCCAGTGTGCCCAGTTTATGAAAAGTTACACTAGTGTGCCTATTGCTAAAAGAGGCTCTTTTGCTAGCGGGACAGCGTGGAAATTTTTCTTCATTAGTTGGTTAATGGTAACCTCAAACACACCTTCCCGCGTTCGTCCTAACTGTGTGAAAACAGCGGATAAGTTCTTTCCCCAGAAGTGAAACTTCCAAATGAAAATAACTGTTTTGAATTTCTATTGCTCACAAATTTATAAACATTGCACTGCAATGGGAATCATTGGGCATAAGGTCAGATGAACATAGAAAAAAAGACAGAATAAACGGAAAGAGGGCAAACTGTGAAAAAAAAAATTTGGCAGATCCCACAAACCCCAGGAATCAACGTTATGCGAAACATGCGGAGGGAAGGTGACTGCATTGTAATTTATT